ATACCTGTTTGTACTTAAAGTACAAAAATGGCTTGTCAGGTAGTTTGGTTACTAGTCACTTATTGGTTTATATTATGAAATTCTTGTATAAATTAAACTTTAGTTTTGTAAAAATGCAAGTGTTTATATATTCTACAAGATGGCCTGTCATGACTTATTTGATCTAATCAGTATATTTTACCAATAGCGTGCTAGCAGTAGAATAAACGATAACAAGAATTTGTTTATTCTTAACATTCAGTATTGTTTCAGTGTTATAATTAAGTAGTACCAAACAGGTATTTAAAAGTGTTATTTTTTACCACTATATAATTTTTTACACAAACCGGTTGAAAAAGGGTTTCTCAAAAAACAAAAATGGTCAATTCGTTTCCAACAAATCAAAATTTGAGTCATAGACCTACAATACTCATGTCGGTCCGTACTTCCGTCTTTTAAAAATACAATAGGGCCTAAACATGATCTTGTGTATTTATACATCTTACAAATATTTCAAATAATGTAGTATGTTTGTTATCGAAAATGGTCAAAATCGGTTGGCCTATAAGGCCCCCCTCAGATAAGGACTTTAACAGTCATAACAGTCTTAAAATGCTGCTAGAGTAATGAAATTTAATAAACAAAAGTGTTGCTATCAAATTTCAAAAGAATCGACCCTTAATAGACCGTACAACTATGACTATATACAGAAAATTTTACTCCATTGTAAATAAATCGTTAAAATAAATTCTATGTAATAGATGTGTTATTTAAAATTGATTACTCCCTCGAATACTAAAAGAATTTTAACCATAATAAACTCAAAACCCTATAAACGGCACTCCTCCGAAAACGACCCTGATTTTGTGATATCGAAATATTATTACAGTTCGACTATCTTTCCTTTGGATATATAAGGACTTAGAGATTTTAAAAGCTTTATTCATAATTAGCTCAAAACCCTATAAACAGCACTCTTCCGAATATAACCCTGATGTTGTGATATCGACATATTATAAGGTTTTGATGGTGGCTATATAAGATTCGGAATAATCGACTCTGTTTCCTTTGGATATGTAGAGACTAAGAGATTTTAAAAGTCCCTAATATTGTAATCCCTCAATACCTGTTTTGCAAGATATGTATATCTGTACCCATCATCCAAAATTTGAACAGATTTTATTGTTGCCTTAGGTCCACAAATCGGTCCTTACTGGATTCTAAAACTATCAGGCCTTCTGTATCCATCAGTCATTTGAAAGCTATGTTTCTTAAGATATGTATATCATTACTCATATCAAAAAGGTGAACCGATTTTATTAGATTCTTAAACTATCAGACCTTCTTTATCCAGTCAGTCTTTTTAAAGCAAAGTGAAATTTTCTTTACATTTCGCTGGGTTCTAAGGCTTTCAAGAGTAAAATTTTGGGCCTACGAAACATAATTTGGGGAAAGCTATTGAAATCGGTTTTTGTATCCATTAACATAGCCCGAAGTATAAGAAATCGTATGTGCAACCCGTCTAACCAACAGAATCAAAAAAAGGTTTAGCTATAAAGTATCGTCTATACGGTCACTTCTGGATACCATTGATTGAATTGAAAGCTAGCATAGAGCAAAAGCTGTTAGGAATATGTGAGCAGATGTGAATTCGTAATATTTCTATCATGACAATGCTCGGCTCCATGTTACAAGTCTCTACAATCCATCTTCAGCAAAGCTTTTGACTCTGATATTAAATCCTTGTTTCAAATACTAGTTCCGGTTTAACAGCTTCAGATCAACTGCTCCAGGAAACGCTATTAAAGGGTTTAAGGGTTTTTAAGTTCCACATATTAATTCCCTTTTATTTGTGTATATAACTAAGAAACATTCTCAACATTTTCTTATTAACAATTTAACATTAATATTTTCTTAATATTAAAAAAATATTTCGAAGAAAATTTAATAAAAATAACACAAATTTCTCTACTATATAGTTTATAATAATATATAAAACTTAAATTATAGCCAGAAATAATATGGAAAGCAATTCAAGAGAAATATATATATTGTTTTGAATGAATGAATGTCTATTATACTATATAGTATATTTTTTTTATAAATTGTCAAACGAATGCAGAAGGAAGGAACAACAACAAAACATATATTTTGAATATACTCATCTGGTTGCTGGCAACTACACAAATAGATACAAAATCATACACACATGTATATTCTATAATAGTTAAATCTAAATATGCAAATTGGAAATTTCTATAGAAAATATTACTTATATTCTTATGGTACACCCCCTCCCCAAAACAACCCATTTTTAAGAAACGAAATTTGTAAAATTTTAAAGCAACAAAAAAAGAAGAGATGAACCTTTATGGCATTAACCCGTTACGCCTTGTTTCCTTTTTCCACTCGTTTTATTTTTCGCTTTAAAGAAAATGGCAAATATGTAGTATGCTTAAAGGAATCTATATGGTGTATTGAGAGTGTGTTAGAGATGTCAGACGAAAATGTGAAATTTCAGCAGTAAAGCAATTTCAAACTGATGCCAACCATCATGTTCCCCCTTTGGCATTTTAACACACTCACTGCTTTTTTGTATTTTGTTTTTTATATGTTATTCTCTTTAACTCTCATATACTTATAAGTAACAGCGATGAAAATGTTGTTTGAATTGTACTATTTGGGTACCAATTCTTATATAAATTTGGTACCCAAATATTCCACACTATAGGTCTGGACGATCGAGTTGACTAGCCTGGAGTATAAAACACATTATAGTCGGGACTATAAGTAGAATAGTAGAGACTGTAGTCTGGACTATAGAATAATCTATAGTATGGACTATAGAATAGTCTATAGTCTGGGCTATACTAAAGAATAGTCTATAATCTGGACTATATAATAGTCTATAGTATGGACTATAGAATAGCCTATAATCTGGACTATAGAATAGTCTATAGTCTGGACTATGGAATAGTCTATAGTTTGGACTATAGAATAGTCTATAGTTTGGACTATAGAATAGTCTATAGTTTGGACTATAGAATAGTCTATAATTTGGACTATAGAATAGTCTATAGTCTGGACTATGGAATAGTCTATAGTCTGGACTATGGAATAGTCTATAGTATGGACTATAGAATAGTCTATAGTCTGGACTATAGAATAATCTATAGTCTGGACTATATAATAGTCTATAGTCTGGACTATAGAATAGTCTATAGTCTGGACTGTAGAATAGTCTATAGTCTGGACTATAGAATAGTCTATAGTCTAGACTATAGAATAGTCTATACTCTGGACTATAGAGTAGTCTATAGTCTCGACTATAGAATAGTCTACAGTCTGGACTATAGAATAGTCTATAGTCTGGACTATAGAATAGTCTATAGTCTGGACTATAGAATAGTCTATAGTCTGGACTATAGAATAGTCTATAGTCTGGACTATGGAATAGTCTATAGTCTAGACTATGGAATAGTCTATAGTCTGGACTATAGAATAGTCTATAGTCTGGACTATAGAATAGTCTATAGTCTGGACTATAGAATAGTCTATAGTCTGGACTATGAAATAGACTATAGTCTGGACTATAGAATAGTCTAAAGTGTGGACTATAGAATAGTCTATAGTCTGGACTAAAGAATAGTCTATAGTCTGGACTGAAGAATAGTCTATAGGCTGGACCATAGAATAGTCTATAGTATGGACTATAGAAAAATCTACAGTCTGGACTATAGAATAGTCTATAGTCTGGACTATAGAATAGTCTATAGTCTGGACTATAGAATAGTCTATAGTCTGGACTAAAGAATAGTCTATAGTCTGGACTGAAGAATAGTCTATAGGCTGGACCATAGAATAGTCTATAGTATGGACTATAGAAAAATCTACAGTCTGGACTATAGAATAGTCTATAGTCTGGACTATAGAATAGTCTATAGTCTGGACTATAGAATAGTCTATAGTCTGGACTATAGAATAGTCTATAGTCTGGACTATAGAATAGTCTATAGTCTGGACTATAGAATAGTCTATAGTCTGGACTATAGAATAGTCTATAGTCTGGACTATAGAATTGTCTATAGTCCAAACTAAACTGGTGAATAAATTAAATATAATCTAGAGTAAAGAACAGACTATAAAACTGACTATAGTCTGGACTATAGTCTATTCTATACAATCTGACTGATAGTTCAATTAAAAGCTGATCAATTAGAACTTAAACTAGATACAACCACGATAAAAGTACTATTTTTCAAGCACCTTGTATGGGCCATTATTCAATTATTCCCCTTTTTTATATCATAGTGCCAAATCATAGTGAAAAATCAACATACTAATATCCTTTTTAGCTGCTGCTTCAGCCATTACTATGAAAAATTTATTTTTATCGTTTTTATTTCATCACTCTCTATATATACAGAATTTGATTTTTGCACACACTTACATACATACATGTGCAATTTTGCCAATTTGTTTGTGTATTTATTGGTTTTTCACATTCTCTTTCTTTCGTCCTTCATACATTTTGTTTGAGGGGAAACTATAGCAAATTGCCGCTAAATTTTAACCAATGCGCATGAGCATTGCATAAGTTTACTATAAAGGATACCTAAAAGCAATAAAATTTAGAAAGTAGCGCTAAAAGCATAAAGGACAATAATCACATGTACTCTTTCTTGCTAGTGGGCTTAAGTAGTGAATTTTCTTACCATCTCTTTCTTGCCATAGGTAGTTCATGCTCTCTGCTCTCTTTTTTAAACATTATGGGAAAATTTTATGTTTTTTGCTCTCACCCCATTTTTGATTTTATGTTTTTAGGTATACATTTTTTGTTGTTGTGTATACTTATATCCTTTTTAAATTTCTATAATTATTTTCGGGTGTGTAGGTTTGTGTATAGGAACAAATTGAGATAGTGAAACACAAAAATTAACACACAAACAAAGAAAATAAGGAGTATAAATTAAAAACACTACTAAAAACATGCATTTTTTTGTTTTTCCTTTTCATTACAGAGACCATACTCATCAGCATACTCCTGGCAGTCGGCAAAATCCCCCATAAAAACAAAAAGCACAACAACAAAATTGTTGTAAATACAGGCAGTCAGAGATTTTTTAATGACGTAACAACCTGCTGTATTCGGTATCTGTGCGAGGTAGTAGTAGTAGCAGCAGAGTCCAAAGAAAAAAAGAAACTCAATTAAGCAACAGTTAAATTAAGTAGGTTTCAAGTTCAAGGCTGACAGTAACGTTGTAGACTCATTGAAGTTAAAACAAATATACATACTATATTTTGCACATAAAGTCATTGTACTGTCAGAGCATCACTAAAGCAGCGTTTGCAGCAGAGACAGAGGAAAAAAATCGTTTAAATTTAATTAACAAATAACAAAAAAACATGTCTTTATCATTTGAAGCTGCCTCTAACGAAGGACCCGGCTATGTTGGTATTCGCTTTTGTCAAGAATGCAACAACATGTTGTATCCCAAAGAGGATAAGGAGAGCAAAGTCCTCATGTATGCCTGTCGTAATTGTGACTATCGTCAGGAAGCCGATTCCAATTGTATTTATGTGAACAAAATTATGCACGAAATCGATGAATTAACTCATATTTGCCCCGATGTCATTTCGGATCCCACCTTGCCGCGCACTGAAGATCATGAGTGCCCTAAGTGTGGTCATCGTGAGTCGGTATTTTTCCAGGCTCAAACTAGACGCGCTGAAGAGGAAATGAGATTGTACTATGTTTGTACCAATCAAAATTGTACTCATCGTTGGACTGAGTAAACGATGTGGGGCTTTAGAGGGAGGAGATCTAAATTTAATGGTTTTTGTTGTTTTAAAGTTGTTTTATCCACACTTTACTTTAATTAACTTTTAGCTTTTGATATTTTTAAATATTTTACAATATTTTTAATTTAAATGTACTAACTTTTGTTTCACTTTATTTCAAGAAAAGTCCAACATTAAAGCCCCGTTTTAAATTTATTATTTAACTAAAACCAACAATTTAAAATTTCAACCTTCATACAATTGTCCTATTCACAACTTGTGCTGTAGCGTTGTATTAACATTTTATCATACAACGATACGACACAGGCTGTGAAATGTTAAATGTAATCTAAATTCTGTGGGTAACTTCTAAACAAAGTTTAAACTAAATTTCGTTAAAAATGTTAAAGTTTAAAATATCTTAACTAAACCAAAGTTAACCAAAATGCTTTATTTAAAACAATTTGCTTAAAGGTAATGAAAATCTGAAGCACGTCAAAAAAATTCTAACCTTCAACCATTAAATTGTTTCCTCCTCCTAATTAAAGACCTTCAGGTCTTTCTTAAACTCGGATCGATTATTTTCTAAAGTTTTTGAATCTAAATTTTATATAAACTCATTTAATTTTCTAATTGTTTAACAATAATTTGTGTTTTTTCCAATTTTTTTTAAATTTAAATAAATCGATTCTTGAGCAGCATAATAATAAAAAATGTTTACAGTTGTTTTCTTTCAGAAGAGGTAAGTACAAAAACAAGAACCCTATTTTAAATTGAAAGTATGTTGAATGTCAGATATAGCTGAGCCACATTAGGAACTTCAATTGCGAAGTCAAATACCGGATTTTGAACTTATAGTCTATCCTCGATAGGGTTGAGAGGTTAGATATTACAGCGTTCTTTTTTTACTAGATTTGAAAGGCTCTGCTTTAGACGCATTCAAAATTATACTTTTTGAAAGGCTAGTGCGCGGAAATGTTTTAATATGTTGTGTTACGCACTTCGTCAGAAAACGAGGACATTCGGTGTAATGTTATTGCCAATGCAGGAGCTATAGATAGTACTTGGACGAAATTGTTTCGCAAAAGTTTATTCATATTTCCATTCCTGCTCTGCTCACGTCTATAGGGAGTACTCTGCAAAGGAATAGTACTGTTTTAAAGGTCTCTCTACACTCGAATTGCGTTGAACAGGGAGTTCCAACTAAGACGATATTGTTTTGGATTTCAGAAGACGAGTACATTCGGTGAACTGTTATTGCCAATGCAGGAGCAAAAGATAGTACTTGGACGATACTGATTCGCAAAAGTATATTCATATTTCCATTCCTGCTCTGCTCACGTCTATAGGGAGTACTCCGCAAAGGAATAGTACTGTTCTAAAAGTCTCTCAACACTCGAATTGCGTTGGACATAGAGTTCCAACTTAGACGATATTGTTTTGGATTTCAGAAGACGAGCAAATTCGGTGAAATGTTATTGCCAATGCAGAAGCGAAATATGTTATTTCGACTATACTGTTCCGCAAAAGTTTATTCATATTCCCCTTTCCTGAAATTGAAACAGCTCTGCTCTGTACGAGTATAAAGAGAACTCCGCAAAGGAGTAGGACTGGTCCAAAACTAATCCAAATATGTAGGGAAACATGTTCCATTTAACATTTGAATGTTCTAGGCGAGGACCAAGTAATCCAAACATGTATTACGTCAGACAAATCCCAAAACTACTGATTATGGGACTACAACATGATCCTATGTAATGCCATGGACCATGCTATTTACATTACATAGGACTATTTAAGGGATCATATACTCATACAATGTTTGCAAGGGAGTAGTTTTTCATTACCTAAATGGATCATGTACTTCAATTATTATTGCGTAGTTAATGAGTTATAGAACACGATCGTCGAAAGAGCGACAGTAACATCAGAACTCAAATCTTCAGCTATAACCCCATGTAGGACCATGATTTTCTTGGTCCTTTATAGGAATTCGTGAAGTCTTCTTCTGGGCATACTTATGGGGTAAAATATGTATATGATTTTAAAGTTTATTTTATACGATCATTATTGTCGATTTCAAACAAACTTCAGGATCAATATAAAAAGTTTTGTGATGCCACTAAATTACCTCTATTACATCTAGGAAGACGAAAGTGAACTCGAGATCACATCAGTTACTGTTTCCTTTAATCTTTAGGAAATATAGAATTATTCCAAAAAAAGTTTCTGAAGAGTGTTCTAAAGAAGAAAGTCATTGTACAAAACTGTTTTGGATGCCTTATAGGTTCGGAACTGATGTAACATACATTCTTCTTTAAAGCTAAATGAACAAACTAATTGCTTTACAAATTTACTTATAACTTCCAAGAAATTAACTATTGCCACGCCCACTAATTCTAGAGAAGTTTTAAATAACAGAAAAGTGTATTGCTTTGGAACTAACAATTTGGTAACATTATACTTCATATTATTTTTTATCATTTTTTTGATATTATCAACAGTTCAGAAGCTATTAGAATATAACCTAAAACAAGTAGGGAAGTATAGTCGGGCATGGCCGATTTAACTTTTATGTTGAATTTCACCTTAAATCCGATGTATTTAAGCAATTTATGAATGAAAAACAAAATGTCTAAAAGAGGCTTTATATGGGCCGATCGTCAATTCGAAAGGTTAGGTTGTATGGGGGCTATGTGAATCAATGGACCGATTTCAACCATTTTCAATGGGCATCGTCCTTGTTCCGGTATACTTTAAGGTGGGTGTAGTAGGACCATTACCAAAACAAACGTATAATACCCTCTCCACCATAGTGGTGTAGGGTATAAATAGAAGGCTTTTTATGTTTGATTTTTCTAATCAAATTTTAAATCTTTAAAGATCCGTTATCCCTTTCAAGTTATTTTTGAAATTTAATGCCTTTACTACTTAATATTAATATTTCTCTCTTTATATATCAAAATATATAGATCGATTTTCTAATATAATTTAACAAAATTCCTTTAATGGCATATTTCTTATCGTTTATTAAAATTCTAAAATTTTCAGCTTGTTCCTAAACAACAAAAAAATTTAAAATGATTTCTTAAGGATAAAAAAAATAGAAAATAAAATCATTTTTGTTTCTGTTGTTATCAGGCAACGAAAGGATATAAAACAACAAAAGTGTTCATATACATACATATGTATGTGTTGGTATGTATGTAGATAAACAAATAAGTATTGAAAAAATATTCAGACTGACAGTCTTGACGCCAGCGACACACCAAAACACTAAACACAAAGCTATAGTAGCAACAATATATTACGTTCTTTCATGATTGCTGGCTGCTTCTAAGATAAGTTGTCAAAGTAGAAATGTATCCGTTGGTAACATCCTGAGTTGATGATGAAGCTGAATATATATAAATATACATATGTATGTATGTATGTATGTATGTATGTATGTGTTTGAGTAACTACACTTAACAAAAGACAGATGAGCAGTATGAAACAGGATTAGCTTGAAATCGTATTTAAATAAACTAAAAATTTTACTTGAAATTTGTTTAAGCCACACAACTTTAAGTCCAAATATGAAAAATTATTAGTCCCCACCTTTCTATAATGTCAGTGTTTAAAATGCGTATTTGTATGGCCCCTAACAAACCCTTCTCTTTTTTGTGTTATTATCTAAGGGTATGTAGATTCCAAATAATACACCACAGTTCTTGTGAGTATCTTTCCGGTGAAAATGTAATTTTCTCTTGAAGCAAAAATGTCTACACAAACTTATTGACTACCAGCAGTATTACCAAGAATTGTTGTAGTAATAACATCGAAGGAAGGCTTGAAAAAGCTACCATAAGTGTTTGGCAGCTATAAACATTGAAGCAACTATAGCTTTGGAATACCCGCGAGACTTTATCAATGTCTTATTTTTTCATACTTCTTAACAACTGAAAGAAACATTAAAATGAAAAACGAATTTGCAAAATTTATTTTTCAAATATAAGAAGCATTTTTATCACCGTTTTTTTTTGCCGTGATGAAATTGACTACTTCAAGGATAAACGGGAAAGGTGGAGGTTTTAAAAATGGGTTGAATTTGAGTGTGTGTGCTTTTTTAGATAAACTCCCTTCTCTTCCCTTGCTCTAGTTTTACTTCTTAAACTTATTTGTATATCTTTTGTGTAGATTCCAAGCAAAATTTATGAATACCTCAATTTTTGCTATTTGGTTATGTGCGTTTGTATCTAACGCATACATATTTTAGGTGACATTATGGGCAGCAATTTAAAAGAAATCATTCATTTTATATAAACTCAAAAAGAGTTTCAAGTTACTCAATATCTAATACATATGTACATATATCTTAAATGATAGATATATGTATGTATATAGATCTAATTGTAACAAATTTAACTTTAGGAAAAAGTTCAATTAAAACTTATTAAAAATCGATCAGATCAAAAAGTGTTATTATCGGTAGATTTTTATCATAAGAAGATCAAAAAAACCTTCACATATTTTTAGGCATTTTATGAATATTATATGAACCGATCATTTGTTCTTATACATAGAACTTCATATTCGGTGAACTATGTACGGTATAAAAAAAACCTAAATTAAATCGGATAAAGCAATACGATATAATATTTTGGATATTTGTAGTTTAAGCAAATCTGGAACTTTTTTTTTACAATTACTGTTTGGAGTTTTTAAATTAAACATTAATTTAATATTCAAATTTAAAAACATTCATCCCATTTGTTTGAACATATCCAAAAGTCGCATGTAGTTCTTTTAACTAACCCCTTGCATCTTAGAACTATTACAAGATCGTTTGCCAAATACCCTTTTTTCTTAAATTTCTTAATACCCATAGTGATCAACTTGACCTTGAGTGCATAACTCCAATGATAACAATTTTCATTACAATACCTCCACAATAGGTGACGAGATACTGAATTGAAAAAAAATGGAATATAGATGTGCGATCTGAGAAATCTTCACATACTTTTAGGCATTCCATAAAAACTATAAGAACTGATCAGTAGTAACAAATATTAAAAAAAAAACTCAAAGGGCCAGCTTTCCAAAAGAATAATTATACCCATTCCCAGGCCCACTTTATTAAATAAAATTGTAGTTCAGATAAAAAAACTTAATGAAAAAGAAGAGTTCTTAAAAACTAAAATTCCATGTTTTCCAATAAAGTCATGGTTCCTTTAAAGCACTGTGCTTTCAAAGTACAAAGTATTTCATTTGCAAAATAAATGTTAAAGTAATATTGTATGTAGTATGTATATTTATTTTGCTGTAGCAGCAGCATCAGCATCCATCAATTTGATGGATAAATATATGCAAATTGTGTATTAGCTGTGTGTTGTATGTGTATGTCCTTTTTTGCTTATTTGTTAGGTTTGTGTGTATATGTATTGATATTATTTGTTTTTGGTATGTTCAAGTACTCCGTTGTATGTCTTCATGTTGGTATGCTTGTTATTGCTG